TCCAGACACTCCCAAGAGTTACTGCAGAATTTCTGAATCAATGAGATAAGATTTCCAGGGTCCCTGCAACAAAACCAACATCGTGTCATGTAATGAGCATAATGCTCCAGCATTTCTTCTATTTGACCAAGCACTCAATGTATCACATCATTAATACAACTTTAACATTAGCTAGAGGATCATCGAACAAGTATGATCACAAGTTTAATATGAAGTAGTAGCCATCGTTGAAATATTTATTTTTTTTCCAGGTGCATAAATTTTAATATATTATGTTTACAAGAGATTTAAAGGTAAATGCTAAATAATGGAGTGAATCTTAGCAACTGATCTTTCTCCCTGATCATTAGTTAGTGGGCAGTGTTGATACTTCTAATATCTACTCCCGAAAGCCATTGATTGATTTAATTAATTGATTTTAGCAGGTGGCTGCTATCCTGTATCAGAAGATATTACAGAATGAATATGTTTGTAGTATGTCTATCAAGGTTCAGATTGTGCTAGCGTTTCCTTGGTAGGACACAATGAAATGTGAGGGAAGTTCTTTCAAGTGCTCAGAAGCCCTGAGGACAGATCATATCTGAGAATGGAATGGTTCAGTCATGCAAAGTCTGGTACTGTTTGTTGATCTTTGTTATTTGTAACTGAAGGATTGTTAAGATCTTTCTCTCATTTAAAAATTCTATTGTTCTATGATTGTATACGTTGAAAGGACAAAGGTTTCCTAGGTTAAACTGGCTATGTTCACTATAAAAATCTATTTTTAACAGAGAAATAAGCTCATAAATATTGGAATCAGGCACCTATGAAGAAAGAAATATCAGAAGATACTAGTAGAGCAATGCAGGTATTTCTTTCAGTTGAATGGTTATGGGAGAATTTCCTTACTTGGAGACAAAGGAGCAGAGAATGTTGTGATGCAAAGTGTGTTCTTGGTTTAACTGGAGCTTTGCACCAAGTTAGGGAGTGAACGATTTCACTCTTTTCAAAATTGCAGACTTTTAAAAGTAGCAAAGTCATCAGCACCCTTCCATTTCTCTCCATTCCCTCATAACAGAGAGAAAATTTGATCCTCTAGCCTAATGTCACTTCATTATTCATTATCAATTCATTATCAATTATTCATAAGGATTCTGCAAAGATTAATACATTCTTCCAAGGAGAAAATATGGGGCATCATTTCAAAAGCTTTGTTAAAAAAAAAGGAGAGGGACATAGTTGTTAGAGGGCCTTTACCTAACAAATGCAGTCAATGTAACCTGGTTTCTTGTGCCCTCAATGAATCTCCAACAATAAAAAAAAAGTAGAGGAGAAAACCAGTAAGGATGATGCTATTACTGTCACCAGAGGAAAGTCAGCATTCCAAGAATCCTCATTCTGTCCGATTACAAGACAGACTGGCACCTGATATGTCAGACTGGAGAGAGCCTTGAGAATTTCTGACTTACAGAAACCTTTATTTAAACCATAAAACAACTTGGGACTAAAGTCTAAGAAAATTATTTACATGTATTGCTGTTACATGTTAACTTTGCTCTTTTTAATATTCAGAGAGTTGTATCATGAGTTTGTTTTTTGTTATGAGAGTTGTGTTTTTTAAAACGCAATGTTTTCTATTATTAGAATCAGATGCAATCTGTGATTTTAACTATGGACTCTTTACTGACATACGCACATGCACTGAAATATGCACACAATCTTAAGGACAATAAGCAGTCCGTAATTGTTTCTCTGAGTGTTTCGAGTTCACGAAAGGTGTGTTGGAGGACAAGGCAGTAGCTGGAACCTTGAAGCAAGTTGAGTTGTAAAGTATCACACTTTCTTTTTTTGTAATACTCCAAACAATTAAGCAATTGCATAAATGCAGGCACATGAAAATGTCATCGCAATTTTAAAGTCTTGTTAGCCTTGCACATTTCACCAGCCCTTCCTGTTCTTACTAAGAGCATGGTCGACATGTCTGATTATGATTATGGCACTCTAAATAGCCTTAAGAAGGGCAATACTCATGTTCTTTTTATTCACTTAAAAGCCTTACTTATTGCATACTCTAACTCTTCAAGGAGAGCCATCATCTTAGGCTCCTATACATGGTAAGGGAATTGATGGTCTGCAAATTAAAATTTGGAAGACTCATTGCATACTATTTTTTTTTTTTTTTGCAGTGTTTGGCCGGGGCTGGGTTTGAACCTACCACCACCTGTGGCATATGGGGCCGGCGCCCTACTCCTTTGAGCCACAGCACCACCCTATACTTTTTCTTAAGGTCCCTTTTCCACCAGTTTTTACACTGAGGTGTTTCCATCGAAAGTTGTGTTGCATCTAATATGGGGTACATTGAAATGTGAAGACTCGTGGAGCTTACCGTTTGTTATTTTAACAATCTCAGAAAGCCCACATTCCCAGGATTCGGCCTCTCCTTATTCACGTCCCACAACCATTTTGAAAATATTTAATCAAGTGCCTCTGTACACCACGTGCTGTTCCAGGTAGAACAAAGCAAACAAAACCCCCAGCCTCTCGAGCCTGCAGGATAGGAAGTTTAAAATACTCCAGCCACCCTATGGAAAAGGGCTCCAGCAGAATCAGTACAAATACTGGTCATCTGTACTAAGTGGTGGGTGAGCAGAAGAGAAAGGGGCAGAAGAATCGTGTGTCCTAGGACGAGAGTAAGAGGCCATCCTCCCTGATTGGACACCGAGTAACAGCTGCCTAAGACTCCGGCACTGGGTCCTGACGCTGGGTCCCTGCGTCTTCCTGGGTCTTTCTGGGTCCCTGCGTCTTCCTGGGTCTTTCTGGGTCCCTGCGTCTTCCTGGGTCTTTCTTCCTTATTTTTCTCCTCTTGCATCTTCCTTGTTCTAGATGCCTCCAAATGGGGGAGGCCCTGGCACTTTTTTTCCTTCTGTGCTTACACTCATGCTGGGTAATTTCATTCAGACCATGATTTATAAAGTCATCTGTATGTTTCGGATGCCCCAATCTATAGCCCCATCTCAGATCTCTTCCCTGCACTGTGGAATTTTCTATGAATGGCCTGTTCCGCTTTTCTGTCTGAATCACTAGCAGGCCCATCACACTTAACATGGGCAGGGTCGTGATCCTCTCTCCTCCCTCCATAATGGGCGTCTCTTATTGTCCTCACACTGTTAAACGCGACCACCCCCCACCCATTCCCAGGTGAAAAATCTTAGCATTTCCCTTGACTCCTTTCCCTCCCTCCTCACCTTCAATCCAAACGCAAACCCTTAGCAGACGTCCTTAATTTCCTGATCCCTGGTATCCTAATCTGAATTCACCATCCGCAGGCAACTGCTTCACCCCCTGCAGTAACTTCCCAGTTCACATCTACTCTTGCTGTCCCGGAAATGTTCATGTTGTGTCACATGCTGCTCAAAACCTCGGAATGTCTTCCTGTTGCACTTAAGAGAAAAAATTCCATGTGTTGTTTCTGGTTTCCAGGCTCTGGAACCTGTCTTCTCTCTACCTCTCATCCTACCCTTATCCCTTGACAGTGCCCGCCTTGGCCATTTCAGAGAGAGCCTCAAGCCTTTGCAGGAGATGTTCCCTATGCCTGGCCCTTCCTCCCAGACAGGTGCACGGTTTGGTCATTAGAACCTCCTACTCAGATGCCGCCTGGGAGAGGAACTTGTAGCCACCTGCCCTTTGCCCTATCCAGTTGCCCCGATCCCACTTCTCTTCTCCTTATTTATCATTGTAGTCTGACATATGCTGATTTTTTTGGTTTGATGGCTCATGGTCTATATCCCCTATTAAAATGCAAATAGCATGATGACTTGGTTTATTACTGACAGTTGGAGAGTGCCTGGTGTTTAATGTGTTTGTCCAGTGAGTGGTCAAATGAGTCACACTCCTGAGGGCCGCAGTAGAAGCGCTGGAAGCCGGGACCTGTCAGTAACCAGTACTGCCTTCCTGCTGTTGGGTCTTCGTTATTATCAGAAGTCCTGAGATCGTTCTTAATAGAACTCAGGGTCTCATTCATAACTTATGTTTTTCCTATGTACATTATATTCCTAAACTGGCTTGCCCAGGTCCTGAGACGATTGTTCGTTTCCATCTATGTTTAAGTTACTTATTTTAGGATGCAGTTTTGGATAAGGAGTATTACATATTCAAATGTCAGAAAAGCTTACGTTCAACTAGGAGTCGACAACCGGAGGGAGTTGACTCTGTGTGTGCCTGTGTGTAATGTAAAAATAAATGAGGAACTGCCAGTGTCAAACCACATTGTAAGTGGCTAAATCATTTTGTTACTTTGAATTTATCCTTTTCTTTATTTGCTTTACTGTAACCCTGTCACAAAGAAAAATATATGCAGTGCTTCTATCACTCATACTTCTGCACCTCCTGATAAAATATAACAAAGTGAGGGAATTTCATATTGCTTTCAAGAACAGTTATTCCCACTTCAGATATCTCCCAAGAGTATTTTATTTTTTCCACATTATGGTTTGGTGCTTCTTTTTTTTTTTTTTTTTTTGCCAAAGACAAACAGCATTCAGGCATATTAATTTATCTTAATGCAATGGAATTCAGGGAAATCCGTCTTCATGCTGTTGAATGAAATTTGAAAGCAGAGAGCCTTGGAGTCATTAAAGTGGAATTAAAATTGTCAGACTTTTAGCTTAGCTCATTCCACAAAGGCTCTGAGCTGACTTTGAAAGTTTGCATACAATATGATTTAAAATAAGTGAGGAGGGGGAGGATCCTACGCCTGAAGAATTCAGTTAGGACTCCTTTAGCCGGGTGCAGTGCTTTGGACGCCTCTTGAGCATGTCAGCTATTTGATGAGACATGCTTACCGCTTTTCGACTTACATTTGCATAACCACTTTTGAGGAGAACTACTGCATGATTTGAAACTCGATTATTAAAAATATCTGAAAATATTATTGAGTTGTGCCATTGACTCATTTCTGCAAGACAAATATTAAAATCGAGACATTCCTGGGACCATTTATACCCATTTTGTTTCCTCTTCAGGGAATGATGCAACGTCGATTGTCAACTGTCTCCATATTTTGGGTCAGACTTTGGATGCAAGGTAAATAAAAGACTATGATAATGATAAACATAGATATATATAAAAGACTGTTAAGATGGACTCGGTGTTTGATTTTATTTGTAGTTGTATCAGAGTTTAGATGAAAAGAAAAACTTCTAAATTATTAATATAACAGAATTTTTACGATCAGATAAAGATTATTTACTTTCAAGTAATTTCAAGCAACCAGGAATACAACTAAGGGTCAAACTGTTAACATATCCTGTGAGGACAAACATCAATCAATAACTTTGAGGTTTTATTAGCTTCCAAGCATGGTAGGTCTGCTCAGTGTTTATAATAATAAACATTTGGCTTTGTAGGAAACACGAAAATTCTAGTCTCATTGTACAGATGAGTAAAGATTAAGATTGATAAGCGTGTCGGTAGACTAATTCCCAGATTCTGTGTGTGTTCTCTACTCTGCCCTGTTAACAGCTTGACCAGAAATCAAGCATGTTGACCCAATACAAAATTCATTTATTTAGCATGAATGATTCAGCATGTAAGCCATACATTTAATTCATGTACTGTCCAGGACAAATCTAAGTAAACCTTTAAAAATGTCTCCTAAAGCGAATTCTCCACGATGCTCTTTGATCATCTATTCTTGTGTTTAGGATTTTATTTGAAGTGTTTTCTATAATAAACGCAGAAAGGGACACCGTTAGACACCTCCATTTCCTACTAGAATCAGTGGCTTTAGTGTCGTTAGCTCCATACAAAGTTCAGCCTTCAGAGGCTTAGCAAAGACTTGATTGCTACCCTCGAAAGCACAAAATATCTACGATAATTTGGTGTGTTGGTTTACCCAGCATCTGGCATTAAATGTTTATTTCGTACCATTGTTTCAGCACACACCTGTTGGATCTGAGATGAGCTAAATTGGCTGGGAAGCCGCATTCTGTTAGTTATAAAATAACTATTCACAAAATCTGAGACCACTACTATACAACTTCAAGTATATTGAAACAAATTAGAGTTGATTTTAAAAACGTGGTTGACTAGGTGGTACTGTCACGGTGGAGTAAACATAGGTGGGATGGCTTTTTATTTGTATTTCACTGGCTGCTGTCGGAAGGTGGTGTGAGTTCTCCCTTCTGTCCTCCATAGGACTGTGATGAAGACAGGCCTGGAGAGTGTTAAAAGTGCCCTCAGAGCTTTTCTGGACAATGCCGCTGAGGACCTGGAGAAGACCATGGAAAATCTCAAGCAAGGCCAGTTCACCCACACCCGAAACCAACCCAGAGGGGTCACTCAGATTATCAACTACACCACAGTGGCCCTGCTGCCAATGCTGTCATCATTATTTGAACATATTGGCCAGCACCAGTTCGGAGAAGACCTCATATGTATGTAAATCGATTACTTAGAATTTCATTACTGAAACACCCAGTCCTATAACCAAATTGTAAGGCCCACACCTGGTTTATACCCGGCTTACACATTAAAATGCTTTATTTTACAAAACATTCTGGCTTGCCATTTGATTAATAGAAACCATTCTTATAGACTTAGAGAGAGGATCAGGAAGGTGCCCGTTGCGGACAACAACTTCCAAAAATTGTTGATATTTTTGTTTGTTTTTTGAGACAGAATGTTACAGTGTGACCCTTAGCAGAGTGCCATGGTGTCATAGCTCACAGCAACCTCAAACTCTTGGGCTTAAGCGATTCTCTTGCCTCAGCCTCCCAAGTAGCTGGGGCTACAGGTGCCTGTCACAACGCCCTGCTATTTTTGGTTGCAGCTGTCTTCGTTTAACCAGAGCCTGGGTCAGGCTCGAACCCACCAGCCTCAGTAGCTGTGGGCGCTGAGCCAACTTCCACATTGCTGATGTCCAGGTTCCAAATTCTACTATTTCCACATTGCCTCTTTCCATGTAAATTTCCTAATGCAGTCGGACCATATGACATAAAATATTAAATGTATGCAGATTATTTCTGAGTCAACGTAGATTGCTTTCTCTGCCTTGTACTGCCCACTGAGACAAAGTCCGTGTCTAAATAATTGATCTGTTACGGTGGCTCAGATATCTTGTTTAGTGATTTTTATGGAGGATATAGTCGGCTGCCTTTGGCTGGAATTCTGCAGTTATTAAACATATCTGCAGAGTGTCTAAGATGAAGTGAAAAAAAAAATAACATGAGCTGTTCTGACCCCCACTATCCTGATAGTAACCTAAGACCAGATGGGAGCCCTAGCTGAGCAGACCCATCAACTCAGACTCTCACTTCAAAGTATCTCTAGGTCATGGGCAGCTCTGAGTGAGGGCCACTGAGTTTTCCAGTGCATGCCACTACTATCTTTATTTTAACCAGTAAAACCTTTGTTTTAACCAGTAGGAGCATTGCTCGTAGCACTGCGTGTGTGTTTAACCTGAGGACAAGGGTTAATTTTCTACTCATGCTGTGGTATATCTACCAGCAAATGGTAGCAGAGTTGGAATCAGTAATTTGAGGTTCTTAGATTTTTTTGCCCATTAAATGTATCATTTTTGGAGACTAGATTATCCATAAGACTTTGATTTTCTTTTTTTTTTTTTTCTGAGCTGCACTGTTTATTTTGCTGCTTGAAACCTAAGTGACAGTATGCCACTATAATTACGGGGTTTCGTCTAAACCTTTACTACACTGGCAGGTACAGAAATAGACGGACACATTTTTTGGAGAATTGACATTTTGCAAAATGCAGCAAACATTTTAATTTATACGTGAGAAAAGAAGTATTCAAAAGGGTATGCATTTCAAGAAAACTTTGATTTTCTGTCTTCAAAAACCACCAGAGGAACTGAAGTTATGCCTTGAATGTCAGGTCATTTGAGAAGTAACTATCAGACTGTATCCTCCAGTATTCTCCTCATCATTCATTTGAGTTATGATGAAAGATACAGAATCCTCATATGTCTTTGGAACACAAGTCAAAATATACCTATATCCCTTCTTCCCCCAGAGAATTCTTAGGCTTAGTTTTATTCTTTTTTTTTTTTTTTTTTTGCAGTTTTTTGGCCAGGGCTGGGTTTGAACCTGCCACCGCCGGCATATGGGGCCGGCGCCCTACTCCTTTGAGTCACAGGCGCTACCCAGGCTTAATTTTATTCTTAGAGAGATTCTTTATTCTTATTCCTAGAGAAAAAATTATAAATAAATTTATTTTTGTTTGTTTTTTATAGTTTTTAGCCAGGCTGGGTTTGAACCCACCAGCTCTGGTATATGGGGCCAGCGCCCTACTCCTTTGAGCCACAGGCGCTGCCCTATGAATAAATTGTTTTTGAGAGTTTTCTAAAATTATCTCTGCGTGTTTTCTTATCCCCTTAAAGAAAAAGATTTTGAGACAAAGGTTTTATATTTCTTTTTATAAATGTTCATTCTAATTTTGCTTTTTAAGCTCATTGTGAAGTTATTAGAGCACCTTTCATATGGAATTTTGTTTTTAATGTGAACTTTCTCAAGACAATTTATAAATAGTTTTTTTTTTTTATTTGTTTCAAGTGAGATTCTCTTTGTTTCCTTAGTGGAAGATGTCCAGGTCTCTTGTTACAGAATTCTGACTAGTTTATATGCTTTGGGAACCAGCAAGAGTATTTATGTGGAGAGGTAAGTTTTTTACCATTTAATTTTATAGTAGTAGCTGTTTTAAGTTCTGTGACTATTTATTTCGAGGATATTTTAATGACTTTTTCCTTAGTTATAAACTAAGCCAAATTGACTTGTTAAACTCCTTGCGAGTAATTAGGCAGTCTTTCAGATAAATAAGAATTGATATGATAAAAAACCCCTGGAGTTATTCAAGAAAGTAAAACAATAATGGTAAAGGCCATACTTAATGTAATGCGTTAAGTTTGGCGTGTTCATGAGTCTTATGAAAGAGTCTGCTTAGAGGTGGTGCCTGTGGCTCAAGGAGTAGGGTGCTGGCCCCATATGCCAGAGGTGGTGGGTTCAAACCCAACCCTAGCCAAAAAAGAAAAAGCAAGTGTCTGTTTGATATAGTTTCTCATTATGTATCAGAAATACCAAGTATGAAGGTGATATTAAAACCCGATTTATTTTTTTCATGTTCTCAAGTTCAAGGAGGGAATATTTAACAGTCTCAAATGAAATGGACAGGTAAATTGGGAGACAGTGCTTCCACCTGAATTTAAAGTGAGCGCTCACTGGTGATCTCAGTAATAAATTCCAGTGGCTTAGAGAAGAAAACAGGGCAGTTTTTTAAAAGGGTACAGTTCTAAATACATACATACCTACATAAGAGCTGCGATAAATGAAAAAACATTCTGATAGAAAATTGGATATTGAATAGGTGTGATTTGTCCCCCTGTTAATCCGTAATTAATTACAATTTCAAACTCTTACATCCAGCATGACAAAATAACTTAAAAGTTTACTTTAAAGAATAAACCCGTGAGACTAGCCAATAAAACTGGTGGAGAGGAATAGAGAGTAATGAAAGGTTTCTCATTTGGCTTACAAAACTTCAACAGTTAGGGCGGCGCCTGTGGCTCAGAGGAGTAGAGTGCTGGCCCCATATGCCAGAGGTGGGGGGTTCAAACCCAGCCCTGGCCAAAACAAAAACAAAAACTTCAACAGTTGTACATAAGTATAGACCAGAGGAAAAGTATAATTGGGTTCATGGTAAATATTTAAAAAGTTTTACCTGCATTGTAACTAAACACTATTTTCATATTTTTGTATGGTTACAAAATATTTTATACTAAGGAGTTATGATAGTATATTGAATGCTTTATAATAGAGTTTGACACATGGGTGCTTTCACTTTCTCTATAACATAAGTAATATTAGATCTGTGTTCATAGATGACTGTGGATTCTTACACGTATTTTCCTTGGCTGTATCCTCAGAATTTGGGATTCCGGGTTAAAGAGTATGCCTGCATTCAGAACTATGATCTTTATTTCGCTGTCTTTTCAGAAAAGATCCAGTTTACATTCTTAAGTTCTATATATAGAAAACTTATATTCTTAAGTAGTCTCTATATAGAAAACTTATATTTTTAAGTTTTATAATGCTAATTTTCTTATTTTCTCTCTCTCTCTTTTTTTAACTATTTGCAAATGTAATTGTTAAAAATGGGATAACATTTTTATTCGTAAATGAATTTTCCTAATTACGAGTTACCTGTTTTTTTTTGTTTACTTTGCTTTACCTCTTTGAGAATTACCTTTTCTCATCTTTTATCTGTTTCAATTAATGTATTGTCATACATTATTACAATTATTATTGTCATACATTGTTACAATTATTATTGTCATACATTATTACAGTTATTGTCATGCATTGTTACAACATTTTTATCTAAATGATTAACCTCTAGCCTAGTATTTCTTCTGTTCTTGTGAGTTTTAGCAGTTGCATATATTTATAGTGCTTATATAAAAAACATATCCAGATATCACTTATGAAGTGGGATTTTGAACTTTTATATAATGAAATTTTATATAATCTTTTATAATCAAATCTATCAATTACCTTATGCATGTTCATAAAGTTTTATAAATTGAAAAATACTGTATTTTTAGCAGGATTTTTAGAGTTTGCCAGTGGATACCACTACTATCTTTATTTTAACCAGTAAAACCTTTATTTTAATTGGAAAACTCTAAATTAAAAGTTAGAGTTGTACAATATTAATTTATAATTAATATTAACTAATCAAAAGTTTTATAAATTTAAAAATACTGTATTTTTAGCAGGTAAAAAGTCAAATGTTTATTCCCCCAGGATTTTCATGCTTTCAGCTGTTTAGATTTAGCTGTTTGATTCTGTTGTTCATTAAATAAATGTTTATCAAATTCCAGATGCTGGGATACAACAGAGAACAAGATAGTTCCCTACCTCATAGATTATATGTCTGGTAGGGGAAAGCTAAAACCAAACAAAGTACACTGATAAATATCAAGGAGTTTATAATATGCTGAAATAACTTGTATTATTTTATATTTAATAAACCACTTAATATTCTGAACAGCCTTAGATTAAACAGATACCTAAGGAAGAGAGAGAGAATTCATATCCATGACAAGGGAGCCTGGGGTCATAGCCTGCCCTAAAATCAGCACCTCCCTTCCTTTTAAATGATAAATCAATTTTAAGGGTTGCCAATAATTTTTAGCAGTATCTCTTAACACTTCATAGCTACCCTGAAATCACTCTTATATGGTAAATTTTCAAAAAAATGTGTTTGTATGTTAGTGGTTCATTTTTTAGTTTTCCTCAGTCCTTTTTTTTCATATTGTAAGAACTCTTCTGCACTAGGTCATTCTATTAAAAAAAAAAGAAGAAGAAGAAGGGCGGTGCCTGTGGCTCAAAGGATTAGGGCGCCGGCCCCGTATGCCTGAGGTGGCAGGTTCGAGCCCAGCCCCGGCCAAAAACTCTAAAAAAAAGAAGAAAAGGAAAGAAGGAAAAATGGAAGGGAGGGAGGGGGAAAGCCAAATAAATAAAGGAATAAATGTTCAAATCTGTGGAGAAAATGACAGGACTTTCCTTATTATTTTGTTTTGCACTGGTAAACTTTTTGCTAACAAAACAATTTAGCTTTTAAAAAATATTTTTATTGGTGGAGATTCTGCTATTGAAAACATGTGATATATTGCAATATAGAGATTGGACTTGAGGGTTAATTTTATTAGTAGCAGTATTTTCCAATTTTGGACTGAACTTGCTAATTTGAATGTGACTTCTTCCGCTGTTCACTTGGAAGCCTTACCATGTAAGTATTTTCCACTTACAGGCAACGCTCCGCCTTGGGAGAGTGTCTGGCCGCCTTTGCTGGGGCCTTTCCAGTAGCATTTTTGGAAACTCATCTCGACAAGCACAACAGTTACTCCATCTACAACACGAAGTCTTCACGGGAGAGAGCAGGTAGCACCGAAGCGTGTGCAGTGTCTGAGATGCGAAGCTAAAACTTGGTGACAGGATTCATTGCCTTTATTATTGACAGTGACATTTCTCTGTAGTGACTTGTAATGAGCTGTTTCAGTATAATTTTGGGATGCTGTATCCTGTGCCTTTTCTGAAGAAAATTCATTGAATTTCTTCTACCTTAATGAGCCATAGACAAATTAACACCTTGAGATTTAGACAAAATCATCGGCAAATATAGAGAAGTCGGTCAATCTGATTTCCAATTCAGTTCTTCCTTAAAATTCATCAGCAAGGCTGGGGCTTTCAAATTCACCCAAATTGTGGATTTGTGGTCTTCATTATTCCTTATTCACCAAATAGGTCTATGTTATTGGAATAATTTTTTACCATGAGATTTCTTTACTAGTTTGGTGCAATTTTTATCATTTATAAAAGTTAAAAACATATAAATCTGAGATACTTAATCCAAAACCCTAATTTGCACTTGGCCCTAAGTGTGTGTCCCTTTGATGTTCATGTCTGCTTGTATACTGGGTGTCCACATGTGGCCACACTTGAGGTTGCTTTCAATTTGGGAAACTCTGATCATTTTCTGGGTAGATAGGTCCATGTTTTCACTATCCCAGTGGGAAAGTTTTTGTTTTTTTTTTTTTGTTTGTTTGTTTTAGAGACAGAGTCTCACTTGGTCATCCTCGGTAGAGTGCTGAGGCATCACAGCTCACAGCAACCTCCAGCTCTTGGACTTAGGCCATTGTCTTGCCTCAGCCTCCCAAGCAGCTGGGCCTACAGGCACCCACTACAACACCCGGTTATTTTGTTGTTGTTGTTGTTGCAGTTTGGCCAGGCTGGGTTCAAACCCGCCATCCTCGGTATATGGGGTTGGCGCCCTACTCACTGAACCACAGGCGCTGCCCTGAGAAAGCTTTTAGAACTATTGTTAATGATTTCCATGATTGGCCTTTGAGAACCTATTAGCATTATCAGCTGTGATTTGAGTCGAGTGGAATAAATAAATATGGACAAATTTGAAACTAGACAAAGTGGAAACTAGTCATTCTAATAAGCACTTTTAAGTACTCAAAGCACGTTCTCAAAGCCTGAAGATTATGCACCTGCCCTCTCATAGAATTGTTTTCTGTTTGATTTCCTCTATGTCTGATAAGGTTTATCATATGTTAATCATTTTCCAATAGCTCTAAAGAGACTTGGGTGAGGACTCTTTGCTGTTCGTAGGTATACACCTCTGCTAAAGAGCTCATTTCTCTCTGTAACTCATGCTACACATGAGGGAAGCTTCTAGTTACACTCATTTTATAGTGAATCTTATCACATAAGGAGTGTTATAATAACGTGAATAATCATTACCAATTGACTTTTACAATTCTGATTTCATATAAAGACGAAGCTGAAGAAAATTAGGTTGAATGTCCCTTAGCAGTATTTTTTCCTACGTTATTTCCACAATATAACTGTTAGTGAAAACAGTTAAGTTTGAATTACTGATGTTCTGTGTCAACAGAGTTGTTCTCTTAAACCTTTTAATTAGTTAATATTTGTGCTGTGAACCAGGAAAGAAGCACATTGGTTATTTCATTACAGATAAGGAAATACACAACAGGGGTAATTTACCTGCTACATTGTTTCCGGAACGTATCATTTACATAACAAGAAAAGATATTAAGGATTTCATTCATTTTTTTAAGTCATTCAACAAATAATTACTGGGGCTATAGACTGTGGTAGATGGAGGAAACTTGGTATTAAGATGAGTTAGACTCGCTTCTTTCCGTAAGGAGTTTTTAGATGAGAGAGAGAAAGATGAACGTGTGATAGAATTCAGAATAAGGAACGTTGCGTACACGAAAGCAGTTTTCTCTGGGAACACCTGGAATGGCCTCACAAGGCTGAGACAAGAGGAATCTTGAAATTAGAATGACTGAAACTTCCGTGCATTAGGGGAAACTTCCAGCATTTTGATGTGGCTGGAGGTAGCTTTCAGGAAAGAAAAGGGTGAAAAATGTAACAAAAGGGGCGGTGCCTGTGGCTCAAAGGAGTAGCGTGCGGGCCCCATATGCAGGAGGTGGTGGGTTCAAACTCAGCCCCGGCCAAAAAAAAAAAAAAAAACTTCAAAAAAAATAAATAAATAAAATACAATATATTTTTTAAAAATGTATCAAGAATGGAAAGCAAAAAAGAGGGCAGGTGAAACTTTTATATCAGGTAAGGAGTGAGGACTGCACCAGTGGCCCAGACAATTCTTTCCCCAGCTTTAAAAAAGAGAAAGGGATGTGATTAAATCTTTAGAAATTCACTGTGACAGCACTGTGGAACAAGAATGGCTGGGAGTTGGCAATTAGAAAATGAGTGTGGTTATTCGAGGAAGATGATTGGGCAAGGCCCCTTGGATGGGGCACACCAGGAATGGTTGTGAGGGCTCCATTGAGGGCTCAGGGGAGACTCCAGGGAACATCCTCATAGCCTTGAAGTTCTCTCAGGTTGCTCCCCGGGGTGACAGATCAGATAACGTTGTCCCCACCTCGCTGGTACAGGCTTAAGAGATAGCTTGGAGGGGAAATGGAAAATTCAAATTTAGACCCGTTGTGTTTCAGTTACTTTTGAGATATTCAGGATTAGACCAAAAAAAGTTGTTTTTTATTTAATTTGGCTTTGAAAGATATTACTGATTTATGTAATAGCAGAAGCCCAGAGGAATGACAGAAATTCTCTAAGCAGACATCTAAGCTGAAAAAGAGAAGCAATTTAAAGATAGATCCTTAAGGAAAACCAATATTTAAAAGTTTAGCAAGGAGGCTGGGTGTGGTGGCTCATACCTATAACCCTAGCACTCTGGGAAGCCGAGGCAGGTGGATCACTTGGGCTCAGGAGTTTGAGACCAGCCTGAGCAAGATAGAGACCCCGTCTCTACTGAAAATAGAAAAACTAGCCAGGTTTTCTACATGGCAGTCACCTATAGTCCCAGCTACTTGGGAGGCTGAGGCAAGATCGCTTGAGCCCGAGATTTGAGGTTGCTGTGAGCTATGATGATGCCACAGCACTACCGAGGGCAACAGTGAGACTGTCTCCAAAAAAAAAAAAAAAAATTTCAGCAAGGAGAAGGGATTCAGTAAAGGACAAAATTGAGAAGGGAGCCCAAAAGGCTGGACACATTGGTGTTAAGGAAGAGAAGAATTTTAGGGAAAGGAGATTTGGTCAGTGGTGGGAAATGCCTCTGCACAGGCAGGAAGAGGAGGGTTTTAAAGCGTGAATTCAGTGAGCAGCAGAAATCAGGAGCTTCCCTCCTATGGACAGAGAAGGCCTGGAACGCCAAGCAATCCAAAGATTTGGACATCTGCACCGGCTGCTGGGGAGGAGCCAGTAGAGAGGAAGAGGGTGAAATACGGGCAGAGCAAGGCATAGGGAGGTGTAGGGAGGACACCAGGAATGCAGGTGGAACAAAAAGGGACTGGAAACTCCTTCCTCTGAAAGTGGCCAATGGAATGAGTGTGGGGCCAGGCACCGCAGACCTTCAAGGCTGTGGAGCTGAAGCTGGAGGAGGAGGCACTTGACCGACTGTTTGCTGTGAAGTTGGAGGATGCCCGTCTGCCAACTGTAAGGGAGTGGAGAGCAGCGTTAGGGTAAGACCTAGAGAAAGGAGAGAATCTTTGAAATACCTGCCTTGGAGAAAGAGAGAAGGAGCCACTGGAGGGTGTGCTGCGTCTTTGCTGAATTTTGAATCCCCCAAATAAATGGTTGCCTGTGTCTGTTAGAAAAAAAAAGAAAAAAACAGAGCGTATGTGTCAGTTCTATGTTGTGTGTGCTCCTCCAGCTCTCAGTCTGCCAGCCAGCGTGGAGGACGTGTGTCCCAACATACCGTCCCTGGAGAAGCTCATGGAGGAAATTGTGGAGTTGGCCGAGTCGGGCATTCGCTACACGCAGATGCCGCACGTCATGGAGGTCATCCTGCCCATGCTGTGTAGCTACATGTCCCGCTGGTGGGAGCACGGCCCTGAGAACAACCCCGAGAGGGCCGAGATGTGCTGCACGGCGCTCAACTCCGAGCACATGAACACGCTGCTGGGGAACATCCTGAAAATTATATATAACAATCTGGGGATCGATGAGGGAGCCTGGATGAAGCGGTTGGCAGGTAAGGGCGGGAGGAAAGAGACCCCTTCAACTGGCTTTATTTCTAAAAGGACTTGAAGAGTAGAAGACGAGAATTTTCCTAGTGTATTATCAATAGTTTCTTCTTTGCTTAAAAAAATTCTTATTATTTCCGTCATGCTTTTAAGAAATATAAGCTATAGGGGCAGCACCTGTGGCTCAAAGGAGTAGCGTGCTGGCCCCAGATGCCGGAGGTGGTGGGTTCAAACCCAGCCCCAGCCAAAAACTGTAAAAAAAAAAAAAAAAGAAAAGAAAAAGAGAGAAATAATAGCTATAAGCAGACATGGGGTTACTTTCCATAGAGTCACTCCTTTTAAATAAACATTTTCCTGATTTGACAGGAATTTTAAGATAGATCCTTAAGGAAAACCAATATTTAAAAGTTTAGCAAGGTGGCCGGGTACAGTGGCTCATACCTATAACCGTAGCACTCTGGGGAGCTGAGGTGGGTAGATCACTTGAGCTCAGGAGTTCGAGACCAGCCTGAGCAAGATAGAGACCCCGTCTCTACTGAAAATAGAAAAGCTAGCCAGGTATCAGGGTAGGCGCCTGTAGGCCCAGCTACTCAGGAGGCTGAGGCAAGAGGCTGAGACTTGACAGTCTCTGTAAGATTAATCAATAAGCATAGCAATAAAAACTAATGATTCTGCAGACAGACAAAAATAAAACGGAATTTTTAAAGAGCCTACTTTCAGCAATCTGTCTTATGGGGGTGGTGGAGGGGTGCTATAAATTAAAAAATAATCAAATGCCAACAGTTATGTTTATTTATCATTGCATTATTTGTATTGAAAAACTGGAAGCAATCTAAGTACCAGTGATTAGATGATGACTAAGTAAGTTAAGTACGTTCGTATGCTAGAGTATCATACCATCTTTAAACATTAAGGTTTCAACTGTGTTTAGGCCTTGGAAGTGGTCATAATATCACAAAAGGTGAAAAGAAGAATTCTTGAAGCAATGAATTCGGAATTATAATATAACATGTATGTTTATGAATTTATCAATGAAAATGATAAATATACCAATTTAGGTAGGTGATTACAACTTGATGTCAATTTTTCTCTTTTACACATTTCTCCAATGTGTATGTATGACTTTTAGAGGGAAATTTCATTTTAAAAATGGCCTAAGCAAGGTTAGAAATATTAAAGACTACAACTATTATTAAAGAAGAGGGCAATATTAAGCATAATTTGACTCTTCCATTGGGCCAAGGACAATCACCTAGTTACAATGAGAAGGACGTATATGATCTTGTACAATAATAGACAAATGTCTCTATTTTAGTATAAAGGCCTGGGGAGCATTTTCCACTGGGGACTTTACTTGTGTGTGTGAAAATAATTGATTTCAAAAATGACCTCTTTTTTTTTCCTACTCTAAATTAGCTATTGATCTTTTTTTAAAACAAGGGAGCTCATTGATTGAATTTAATAATCATTTTTTTTTTTTGAAGCAACTGTGCAGTTAAAGTTTGGACTAGAACAGTGGCTAAGGCCCGAGCAAGGCACCCAGGTGCTGAGGCAGAGAGAGGTTGTAACAGTGCTACCATCGGAATCGCAGTCCATCCTCGTGTGAATGCCTGTCTGTGTGAGCGGAATACCAATGTCTGTCTCCCTACAGTGTTTTCCCAGCCGATTATAAATAAAGTGAAACCCCAGCTCTTGAAAACTCATTTCTTGCCATTAATGGAGAAACTCAAGAAAAAGGCGGCGCTGGTGGTGTCCGAGGAAGAGCATATGAAAGCTGAGGCCCGGGGGGACATGTCGGAGGCCGAGCTCCTCATCCTGGACGAGTTCACCACGCTGGCCAGAGATCTCTACGCCTTCTACCCTCTCTTGATCAGATTTGTGGACTACAACAGGTATGGTGTTCCCAAGTAATTTCCTAATTGCCCTGATTCGATCATAAAACTTTTCTTGGCTCATATATTTCTATTGAGTCGTTTCCTTTGGTCTTTGGCTGTGAACTTGTTCATGATCATTACATACTTAAATGTTGATGAATATAATATAATTAAATGTTGATGGCTAAGTTAATTTTTTTACTCAACATCTTAACTTGAAGTTGGACATCGCTTTCTGAAGCAGCCTGCCTTTTGCATGTAAAAGTTACCAGTTTGACAGTTTCGATGTTTAAAGATTTTTGTTGTTGTTATTGTTCAACTATTATATGTGCTGAAGGCATTACGAGCTCTTGTGATCCCCACGTTTAAATTTTGGACAATGATTTTTGTTTTTCTTAATTGACTGTAAGGGGTAAATGAGAAACCACCTTGTTATGTGATCCAGGGCAAAGTGGCTAAAGGAGCCGAACCCAGAAGCAGAGGAACTCTTCCGGATGGTGGCCGAAGTGTTTATCTACTGGTCAAAGTCCCACGTGAGTAGGAAAATACTGACCGAAAGGGCCCAGTGCTGTTCAGTTCACGAGAAAGGCTCTTTACGTGTTAACCAATTTTCCAGTTCCCCTCAGTAACCACCCAGAGTGATGCTTCTCAAACCTGTCTGCTAGGTTTCCTGTGACAGTTGAGGAGAGAGAATAGGTTTCCCTGGAGAGTTTGAGGGACTATACACCCACTTTTGAGTTTAATAAATTATCTTTTAAAAACACATCGTAATTTTTCATTGCATCCATAAACATGATTTATATTTTCCCCTACAGCTTATGATCATACTGACATTACACAGAGCTGTGCTGTTTTACTACCCAGTTTTCCCCATCACCGAGCACTTTGCCCTCCAGCACCAGGAGTGCTTAGGCCTCAGTTTGAGAAGTGTTAGATTAGGGCAGTGCCTGTGGCTCAAAAGGATAGGGCGCCAGTCCCATATGGCAGAGGTGGCGGGTTCAAACCCAGCCCCAGTCAAAGAAAAAATAGCAAAAATAAAAATTAAAAAAAGCAGAAGCTGGGGGAAGGGAAAGGCAGTTACAAAGCCTTAAAAAAAAAAAAAGTGCTGGATTAGAGTGGTCATTTCTTATAATAAGGCACACCTGTTTACTTGTAAAGCTACTATTCTCTTAAATTTGTTTATCTTCACACACTTTCACTTCTCCAGGGATTTAGTGTGACTCACGTTTTAGAATCCATTGACTTTTAAAATAAAGCTTCTGCAAAAAACTAAGAAAAAAAAAAGTAAAAAAATAGCATAAAGCTTCCGCTAAGAATCTTTGTGGACAGAATTTCTAAAGTATATATTTAGCGAATTTTCACTATTTTATATGTTACTATATATTTTTCAGGGCGGAAAATATTTGAGTCACAAAAAGAATTTTACAGTATTCTGTCATTCATTTTCAGTAACTGGCAGAATGTGGGTAAATGAGCATTTGTTATGATCCCAAATTATTTCAGAAGCTTAGAATATTTATGTCAATTATAAATCTGGACCACTTTGTAAATGGGAGACTCTAAGAAAGTAAGAAGCTCAACCTTAGTTTCAGCGTCTAAATTTCCTTCCCAGTTTATTCTATCGCATTGTTGTATAAATCAAATTGCTTTAAACCTGTAATATTTTTTAAAAACTGAAATAGTCATATTTAGTGTTTAGGATAATAAATACTTGTTGCCTATATCTGAGGAGTCTTTCAAACTTAAGAACAAACTTTATGTAAATACATACCTAAAATACCCCCCTCATTCACCTAACACATATATTTATAACAAAAAAAAAATACCTAAAACAACACTGAACACATAGTAAAGATACACGAAATTATGGCTTTTTTAACATGTAAATTTGCATCTTCACATTAACATACGTTATCTATAATGTCCCAGGAAATCATTTTAGATTCTTTATGTTTCTCTAGGTAAAAGCAAATGTTTTTTGTCTTACATAACTCATATTATGGAGATATATTCGCTCATTCTGGGTTTTCTGAAGAAAAATTTGGAATCCAGAAAAAAAATCAGTCCATCTTGAGTTGCCAAAGAGCAAAGATGGATTTCCGTGTTTTTCTTTGATTTTCCCTTTGGGGTTACTCCACTGAGGATGCCTAATGGGCAGAAAGGAGCAGCTCAGGAATTAGTCACTTAAGAAAACTAAAAACTGCCTATTTCTTCTTAAAGAACTGAGAATCTTAACTCCATCCATCACTAAAACCAGCTTCTTTAAATTTATAGACAAGACTAAAGTATGGAAGGGGAGTATTTATCATAATCGGTTGGTTTTTAGATGAATGTTAATTAAGGATCTTTTCAAGAATAAGAAAAATGGGATTATATGGTTTTGAATCTCATAGGCATATTTAACGCAGATCTGTTAATATATGCTGTAGTCTTCCTCAGCATATATTAAAGATGAATTGACTTTCCCTGCCCTTATATATTTCCATCTAGAAAAAAGAAGTAATGTTAAGATATTTTAAAATGTAGATAAAGTATCTATGTGGTTCCGTGGAGAGTCTTTGTTAATCTTGGGAAGCGGTATGTCCTTTTCACCAGCTAACCTGGAGTTTGAGTACACGTTCCACTCTTTGGTAGATTGTGATCCTGCAGTTAAATTCTCTAAACCCAAGTTTTCCCATCTTTGCAACGTACGTATTTATATCTGGTTCATAGAAGTGTTACTCCTAGCCAGGCACCCTCGTTGTATACTCAGCAAATATTTGTCTCCTTTCTTGATAAGTCTTAAATATTAAATTAGTACTCACCTCTGTAGAAACATTTGACTTCTATGTAACCTCTAATTACATGGGCTTTTTATCACAGTGGTTTTAACTGAAATTTCCTTTGCAACTTCTCAGAATTTCAAAAGAGAAGAGCAGAACTTCGTTGTACAGAATGAAATCAACAATATGTCTTTCCTTATCACGGACACCAAGTCCAAGATGTCAAAGGTATAGACTGTTTCGCTGTTCTG